ATGGCTATCTACTTTATAATCAGCTATACTAACTCTAAGCTTTGCTAAACTTTCTATACTTTTCAAATATATACAGTTCTCTTATCAGTACCTGAGCCTTATCTATAGTTTCTTACCTTATAATACTCAATCTTTCATATCAGACTTTTAGGTTTTTGAATTCTAGACCATTACATATAAATCGTATTACCCATGTGATCCATAACACTATTAACTTATTATTTGATTAACTTAGACCTGAAATCTCTTTTATATCTCATTCTATTGAATATTTTTTATACTATATATTATAATATATCTACAGAATATTTATGTGAAGTTTTAAATACATTTCATTTTGTCAAAACATCTTTTTTATATAATCTATTATAGCTTATCTATAAAGTGACCACATAAAGTCTTGGATAAATGTCAAATTGATAAAGATCCTTTTTTAACAATGTGCCTAGGTACAATTAGGTTTTCAATTTTTCTGACATGTAGATTTTTAACCTATCTGCAAGTATTTGATAGAAACTATCATATAATGAGATGACTTTAACATTAAAACTGATTGAAGTATTTTGTAATCTTTGAATATCCTATTATTAGACAGGATCTTGGTTAGAAGTAATAGTGATTATTATCATGGAATAAATAAGATCTTCTTATATTGTCTAGGTTTAGGTAATATTGCCTCATAGTAATATTGAGCTTGGAAACAGTACTTGGCAACCTAAGAGCACTATCTTTATACTATTGACCCACAGATAAAAAAAATTTTAAATTATTTTTATTTTATTATTTATTTTATTTATTTTTTTATATTTAAATCATAACTAGTATTAGATATAAGACTTTATTTGACAATTTAATTCTACTGTCATTATATCAAACATTTCTACATATGTAGATTAATGTTAACCTATCATGACAATTCTAACTAGATTTACTATCACTTTGAAAGTAGACATATTTAACTATTGACTGGATGATTAATACATAGTTATAAATGGCAATGCTTAGGCTAATTAGTATGGGGTTCAGATGACTTTTTAAATTTACTAAACTAGTCTTTTCTTGTATATATCTAATGGAATATAAACACCCTCTAATATTTCCAGATATTATTCACTCAAACCTTGGCAAGGGACATATTATCTTTTTTGTTATCACCTGTGATATCAAATCAGTTTCTATTAACTGATTTTCAATTAAGTGGAGTATCATATTGAAATATCCTGAGCTAGGAGAGTGAAGATTCTGGAGACTGCCAAGACAAAGTAGGCTTGAGGCATTTTTATGATAGGCTAAACCAAAAACTTTATTTTATGCAATCTTTCTGATAGTACAACTTTAAGTTTTAATATTTGATCAATAGTAGGCTAGAAGTTTCATCTTCATACAATCTAACCTGTTTCAGACTTGTTCCAGATAATTAGGTACAACTTTCACAAGATAATCGGTAAATCTGATCAGAAGGATAATTTTAATTTTTGATCCTTAAATAATATTGAACTACAAACCTTGTGATTGTGACCTGGAAGCACTACCACTGTGCTATTGACCCACAGATACTTTTTATTATTTTATTTTATTATTTTATTTTCTAATACCAATTTATCAATTTTTTAATAATAGTTCTGATAGAAAAAGGTTATTAATATCAATCTATTAGAAAAGTAAAATATTGTTTCCAAAATCTGATTTAGAGTACTTAGTTAAGAATTTGTAAATTCCTTATATTTATTAAATAGTGTAATCCTTTAACTAATAATATAAAATTTTTTATTATTCTTGATTTTTAAAAATAATTTTTTTAAGATACATTGATATTTTAATAATTAATCAATAAAAAGTTTCGTTCAACTGTATATATATATTTAATTTATAAATAAATCTTTTTGCATATAAAACACATGCGTTCTATAAGTTAATTGATAGTACACAGGATCAAAAATTCACTGAAAAATGCTATATAGTATAATTTGGGTTCCGTAAAAATTTTCATACTGTAAATTGATTAAACACATCTCTAGAGCACCCACGCCATTAGTTTATCTAATGTGGCTTAGTCCTCTTAAAGTTATTCTTTCCCATGAACATGTGCCTATGAGATTTTTGACATCCAGATGTGATCAAGTTTAGCCAAGCAGAATTCGTCTTTGAGAATAGCACTGAGGATAACGGGGAATATCCTAGCAATTTTCCTTCGTTAAACGGGAAGGGAGTACTGTAGTGCTCTCTTAATTTTCCTGAAAATGTAGCAAGAAATTTTTTCGTTTGCTGGCAAAGTTCTTGCCAGCTAAGAATCAATGGTCATGCGTATTGAGCATTTTACGAAGCGATTATGTATATTGAGCAATGAAATGTCACATTATTATTGTGCGTTATGAATTTATTATTAGCATATGAAATAAAGATTCATCACAAAAGAGAGTGTATAACGTACGAAAAAAAAAGAAAAAATTTTTTTTTTCAAAATTTATGTTTATTCAACGATATAATTTACGTGTAGACAACAATGAAAGTCAAAATTCTTCACTCGGTTTATGATATATCTGCCGATTCTTCAAAAAGAAACCTTGTCTAAAATTTCCATATCTTGAATGATTGTTGAAGTTTCGCCTTCATTATTTTCACCGCCGTCCTCGTGCTCCTTGTCCTTTCCCCCTTCTTTACGTTTCCTCTCGCAAAGTAGAATTTCCACCACATGTCCAATCTTTCCATCAAACCTTTTTAGCAATTCCTCATAATGAGCTTTATTTTCCGGTGGGAATCCCATCGAGTATAAGAGTTCCACTTTCTCAGCCAATTCCTCGGGAGTAAGAGGACGGCGATGATGTTTGCCAAACCTATGTCCATGATTATGTTCAGGTCTACCATGTTTATGAACACGACCGCAACCATGAAAATGACCGTGACCGTAACCACGGACATGACGATTTCTATCGCACTTCCGGTGACGGTGTAATTCGGATTCAGATTCATGGAATCCGCGACCACCATGAAATAGGCCATGGTGACGAGAATAAGGTTTCCCACGCATGAAGGGACAGCCACCGAATCCTTCAGACGAATCAAACTTGGCGTAGCCAAATTTTGGCCCGCGTCTCGAGTATCGTGAATTTGCGATGATGAAATAAATTTCAGGATCGGAGCTATTCTGATCTGCTTCCTCTTCAGTTGACGTATAGTCAAAATCATTGTATTTCCCTTCTCGTTCAGTTTCAGTTTCAGTTTCAGCACTTTCTGGTTCCGGTCGAGCGAAATGTACTCTGATATTATCATTAATTTTCAATTGTTCCATTGCTATTGCAGTTTTTTCAACATCGGCGGGAAAAGTTGTCAGAACTAATCTAATAGGAACACCTGAGGAGGATTGATAAATTACTTCTTGTAGTTCGAGATCACTAGAAAGAGTAATATTATCTCCATCTTCATCTAAGTATGAGGCAATGATCTTAAGAGTACCGGGAATCTTGAAAAGAGTGCGTAACTGGGATTCTAATTCCGACCAGGTAGAACTATCTGAAATATTAAATCGACGAGACTCATCATTATAAGATACCTTGATTGTCACCATTGTTCGCAAAGATATAAAAAATAAATTTCAAGTTAAATTGAAAAGAAAGTACCATCGTCGCCCTTTATATACTTTCCACTGCGCGCTCGGAAAAATTCTTACCGGAGTTCAGCCGAGCCGAGCTTGGCGCTCTGCGTGTGAAATAATTGCGCATGATCACACAAAATTGGAAAAAATGAGCTTTGTTTTTTTATGTAATAATTATTTATATTAGTGGTTTTTTTTTTGGTTAACAAGTACTGAGTTCTACGCCAAGCTATGATTAGATTTAGAATCCAAGTCCGAATACGTACTTTGTTTCGGGTGATTTTATGTACTATTATGATACACATGCAAGCTGCCATTTAGGAATCCAAGGTATTTGATGACAGTTTTTATTCTAAACGAGAAAAACAGAGTCATTGGGGTCCATATATTTTCACAACATAATAGACGCTCAGTAAAACATTATTTTTTATTGTATTTTTTTTTTTTCCGCTATAAAGGAATAAGTACAGTATACAGTATATACATAGACGCTCCATTCTAGTTAGTCCCGTGAGGCGTTGTTCATTCGATCAACTACGTCAAAAAAAAATTTTGGCTTTGAACTTCCAATATTCGAATCTAATTAGTTAATGACTACCTCCAACAAATTTGAGTTCGATCTCACCGACTTTATCACGAGCCGAAATCATTTCGATCTTACTTTTCCCCCTTTTGTTTCTTTTTCCTCGTTTCCTTCTAATTTTTTTCGAATTTTGACCTCTCCCGTTTCTTCAATAATAAACGTTCATTTATCAAAATTGATTCTGAAAATTAATGAGTTTAGAAAATATATTCCTCGGTGAATTAAATTGATAAAAAAAAAGAATCGAAATTTTGTAAGATCAGGCGTTAATACTTTTGTTTTGTCGTCGTACTGGAGGTTGCGGTGGCAAAGTAATCCCACCAAGAGTCACTAGATTGTGTACCAATCTTTCTCAAAAAACGAATAAAACGAAATGTTTAACAAAAATCAGAAGAACATACCGTTAAATAGTCCTCAAGTAACTTTGCGTGATGATGGACAGAATATTACTTACCTCGAGTCTCATTTTTCGCGACAAATTTCTAGATAGTTCGTCTTTAATGATAAAGGGAATCAATTCCTTCCACTACTTACATATCCTGCGTAGTTGAATTAATGCCTTAAGGCTGAAATTCCACAAGCGATTTTGAGAAAAGTTTTTTTCGTTCATTTGTTGTGCAGGAATATCTGATGAGCCGAGCATACATGGACATTTTCGAAAACGAATCATCCATACAATGCTCCCAAAGAAAATGCTCAAAACAACTTGTTTCGCGAAGAACGTGACCAAGAATTTCAATCAAAAGTTCACTAGGAAATTTACCGATCGGTATCATACGTGACCCATGAACCTTCTCTTCCTTGGAGACTTCGAATGGACAATAGTGATACGGAAACTTGTGTATCTCTACTTTTGATCGATTATTATACAGTACCTATACATAAATAGCTTTTGCGAGTTATTGCTACTGTAAATATAGTTGATTGATTGATTATATTAATAAATAAAATAATTTTTAGAGTAAAATTTTTTAACGCATTTTTTATGTCCAAGTTACTTTACTAATAAAAAAATAAGTTTTATTTAATTAAAATAAAAGAGTATATATAAATATTTGTTATAATAATTTTCTTTCTTTTTTTTTTTTTAATCTCTATCAGGTTAATCATGTAGGTTTTATTAAACAATTTGTAAGCTGTACTTATATTATGTATTGTTAAAGCTAAACTCTAACTCACATATCTTAGTTAACCTAAATTTAAGTACAACTTCAGAAGTAATTTATTATTCCTTTCTATTTCATTATCCGCAGATCACAACTGCAGATTACTCAATAATTTTTGACAATAATCAAAACCCAATTATTTTATTTTATATTTTACTTATTTTATTAGAACCTCCTTTAGATTTTCATTTTTTAAGCTTTTCTTTTCATGCTTTATTACTTTGATTTCAATGACTTTGGTTTTTTTAACTAATAAGTTTAGTGATCTTCTTATTTTATCTTTTTTACTAATTCCCTGTACTTGCTCCCATTCAATTATTTTTTTATATTTCAGGTTCTAGATATTCTTTCAGATATGATTATAAATCTTTTTTTGCTTTTTTAATATTTATTTTTTACTACTTTTTCAATTTATTTCCCTTGATACTTTAGTTTTGCTATTTCTTTTAATTAATTTCTTCTTACTAGACTTATACAAGAGTTAAGTATTTTTTTATTAATTTTTGAATCTGTTCTATTAACTTAATTATTTTTTTATCTAATTTTCCTATTTTTTTTTTTTTTGAGTACCTATAGTTAGGTTAGATCATAATTTATTAATTAATTGAAAATATAAGTATATTTTCATTCAAGTAGAATGATATATATTATAACTAAATATCAAAGTCAAATCTAACCAACTCATTATAGACAATATTGGTCTTTAAGTTTGATATTAAAAACAATATTTCACTCCATAGTAGACTTTGAATAAAAACTCTCCTAGTTTACTATTTTATTGATAGCAAATTGTTACTGCTATATGTCTTACCAAGCTACTGGAATACAAAAAATTACAAAAGAATGGATTGAAAAAAGAAAAAGTGTATATTTAAAATTTTCAAGTGGACTACAAAAAAAAATAAAGAAAAAAAAAATAAAATAAAAATTTCTAGCCTTCTTTAAAAACCTACTTCTCAAGATTTCTTCTCAATAAAAAATATCTAATTATGATATTTTTTCTTTTTTTGACTATCTAAAGAACTTATCTATTTTTGATTTTAATTTTTTTCTTATATACCATCTAAAAAAGCTTATCGTTTAGTAGAAACCTTTACTTTCAAGACATACTTGATTCCAATTTTTTTTTAATAGTAATTTTTTATTTATCTATAATAGACAAGTGGCTTATAATAGACTTCAGTATAATATTTTTTTAACAGTTATATTTTGCCAAAAAAATTTTATTGATGACTATCTTTTATTTATTCAAAAAGTTAAATTTCTTAACAATCTTTTTATCTTGTAATAATAAAAGAGTTTTAATAGAGATTGAAATTCTTATCAATTACAATATCCTTTAACAACTTCTGAAGAAATTTATTCTTAATTGTAATCAAAAGTTTGAAGCTTAATATAGACTAGAGACTATTCAGTCATATTGTCTAACTAAAATAAGAAAAAGATTTTGATCTTAAAATTTGTTTGACTGAAATGATAAGAAAAAAGGATCTCAGTTTGAACAAATAGCAACTTTTTTACTATATGAGAACTTGTTGCTTATATTTTATTAGTCTCATAGAACTTGATTTATGGATTAATCTAATTAGAGAAGTAGGATATGAATAGAATATAAATCAACTCTTCTTATTGTTAATAATATTATCAAAATATATAAATATAATTAGTGAAACCTTGTTTATGTTTTGCTACTAATATTTTTCATGGCAACCAATTAGAAGCCAAGTGAAATTATACTATCAAAAATTCAGAATCAAGCTGAAATAAGCAAAATTTTCTTCAAAAAATTAGGAAAAACTATAAACACTTTAAGAAAGCAAGAAACAATATATGAGAAAGTGGATTATAAACTTTTTTTTACCTAGAAAACCTATATTTTTATATTATTTCCAGTTTTAAAAAGTAACACTCTACCAGATAATTTTTTTACTTTCTAGAACTTGTTTAAAGAAGTTTGTAAACAAGTAAAAAAGAGTAATAGTAACTCTTAAAGACAAGCTTCAAGTTGTTTTAAAAAAAAATAAAAGACTTTATTAATTAAAAAGTATAAAAACTTCTTGTAAATATTTTTTTTGTGTGTAATTAAAAGATCAACTATCTAATTCATCTATTTTTTTTTTTAATCTATGATCAGATATGCATATTATATTTATTAATCTTCAAAAAAACTAATAGAGATACATTGAACAATTATATTATAGTTAAACTAAATCTTATGTTGACTCACTTGTCAACAGCTTTCAAATTTCGAATGATCTTAAGCCTCTAAATATGATCTTGGAAACAATATTATACTTTGAAATAAGTTTTGAGTAAAGATCCTCTTAACTTACCATCATTGCTAGCAGGTTATTGCTACATATTATCCTTTAAGAAATTGATTTCAAGAAACTACAATAGGAGAAAGGAAAAATAAAAGGAAGAGGAATATCTAAAAATGTACAAATATGTATATATGAAGAGAAAAAAAAAAAAATAAAATAAAAGTATTTCATACTCTTCAAAGATCTTTACTAGAAACTTCCTTTTATTAGAAACCAACTCTTCTAAAATATTCTTCTTCTTCCTAACCATCTGAATAACTTATTTATTTGTGATCTTGATTATTTTCTTGCAACCATCTGAGATACTTATTGCCTACTTGAATTCAGTGTTTTGCTCATCTCTTCCTTTTTTTTCAGTATTGATTTTGTATCTATCTATGTCAAGAAATAATTTATAATGGATTCCAGGTTCTTATATGACCTTTCAGTTATATTATATAACTACTGATATTTTCCAAAATATCCAATTCTTCTATTTTTTTTCTATTTTTATAATTAACTATATATATTTTTCTTTTGTTTTATGCTTTCTTTTTGAAAAAATTTTATAAAATTTTTTAAGAGTTATATATATTTCTTGTTTTAAACCTTTTGCAATTAATTGTTTTAAGCAGTATACTTTAGCAAATATTCTATTGTTTTTTTTTTTTGTTATTTATATATGATATATTATACTTGCTTATATATTATAGATATAATTTTCTTAAAAACAATTTACTTAAAATTAATAACTCATTATTCATCAGTTTAACAAAAAAAGCTTTTTCTTTAAGATTTTAAAATGATATCTTATATATATTTATTTTTAATTTTTTTCTATATAAAATCTTATATATAAGCTTATTGATCTTAAATTTATTAATTTATTTTCTTTCAGTTCTTTGTTTTATTTATTAGTAAATCATTATTTTTTATTTATTTTTTTAATTAACTGCCTTATAAAATTATTTATTATTATATATTGTTACTTAATTTCTATAATAATCTTATATAAGGTTCTTTTATTTTATTACAAGAATTTTTAAGGCTTTTTTGATAAAATTATTGGATTTTTTATTGTAAAAATTATCAAATGGGCTTTAACTTTTGTTATTTTTGAACATCAGTTTTTTTTTTTATAATTTTAATATTAGTATCTATAGAGATCAATAAAAATAAAATTTTTTTAATTATCTTTTATATATATAATACTTTTTGAATTTTTTCTTGAATATTTTTTATTTAAAGATATAAACTTGATTATCTACAAATATTTCAATTTATTATCTATTGAGACTATTAAGAATATTGTAATTATCATCACTAGTTCAATTCTCATAAATGAGAGTCAACCATTTACTCATATTTGAAATTTACCTTTTTTTCTTATAAATTTATGTTGCTTTTATTTTATATTTTCATCTTTATAGTTGATAAATAATCTATCAAAATAAAAAATAAGTTTTTTCTTATATTTTAAATTTCTTTGTAATATTTTAATTAGTTAGTTTTAATAATCTTCTTCTTTGATATTACTTCTAATAATATTTTATTTCTAATTTTCAATTTTTATATATTATTTTAAAAGAAAGTATTACTTATATAAATTATTATTATTATTATTTTGAAACCTAGCTTATCCTACACCTTCTCCAGTGTTTTATTAAAAAAAGATTATATTTAAGGATAATCAGGATGAATATTTCCTGTACTGTCTAGGATTTACAGATTACTAGAAAGAAATAGAACAAGAAGTTATTTATTTATATGACTCAATCTATATTTAACTTAACCAAGATAGGATAAATATATAACTACCTAATATAAATACTTCTCTTTTAAAAACAAAACTGGGAATAAGTCAGGTGCACATGTTGTATATTACTAAACATATTTTTTTAATCAAGAGTTAGTATTATATAAAATATACTAATGCATCTACCAATTAACTTGTTGCCATCCACTAATGGGATCTAATATATCAGGACTTGCCCAAG